GCTAAGCTTACTCCTATGACTTGTAGGAATCAGAGGTCCAGGGGCTTCTGCCAGTTTGCCTCAGGCCACGCTCAAAGGCCTAGGCAGAGAACCCTAGGCTTCTGACACCCCCTCATGCCTCTCATGCCCGCCTCACCACATCCAGCCTTGAAACTAAGCAAGTACTCTCTGAGGGCCTTCCAGAGGTGAGGTCATTCGAGTGTCCAGTGCCTTCCTGTGTCTTGGGATTCAAGCCACAGTAGAAAGATTTTACACATGAAGACGCTGTCCAGCAGAGGATACTCAACTTGCCAATGTCACATGGCGAAGCAGGGGACAGTCTCCAAAGGCCCAGGCATTTTCCATAACTCAGAACCTGTATGGAGTAGCTGGCTGAGTTCATGGATGTCGCCACCTTTTGTGATTCTCTTATAGTCAAGAGTCTATAAGGGAGGGACTGGAGTGGTCAGGCTGTCCCTATGGTTTTACCATCGGAGCACTGCACAAAGATATCTGGGTTTAGTGGTGCTGAACTCTAGCTAGCATCCAGCTAGTTATATGTCCTGGCGACAAGGGGCTGCATCCATGGGAATAGGAGGAATCGTGTGTGTGTGTGTGTGTGTGTGTGTGTGTGTGTGTGTGTGTTTGCGCGCGCACATGAATGAAAGTTACCATATAAGTTAGAGTGCCCTGGGAAGGTACTTATAAGTCAGGGATGGCAAATCGTTTTCATCTGGGTCAATTCCACCCTTATTAGAGACACAGAGTGCTGTGCTAAGAAGGAATCTGAAGTCATGTCTGGGAAGGAGCTCTGCACTCAGCCCTGGGTGGGGGATGGGCAGTAGTGCATGTAAGGAAAGTATTTGCCATTTTGCTATCACTGCTGTAAACTGACACCTTCTGTGTCAACACACAGCCCACAGGAACCCAATGCCCAGTCTTGGCCCAGAGGAGAGAACCGCAGCCTCCCCAGTGTGTCCTTTGCTGTTTATTCCTGAGGCATTGAGTGCAGGGAAGTTCAAGAGGGTTAGGAATTCCTCCGGATTATAAGTCACTAGAAGATGTTTTTTAGAGAAATAATCAGCAACAATTTGCATTGGATTGTGAAGGCCCCTCTTTTTCCTCTTCTCATTTCTGCTTGCCTTTCAAGCCAAATTAAAGTCTGATTCTCCCATGAAAACCCCTCCTTGCTCTCCTTACCCAAGTTTCTCCTGCTTCTCTGAGCTCAGAGCTCTTGGTTTGAGACTCCACCAGACACCTATCAGATCTGTTGCCTGGGCAACTTTAGGGGCAAACACTTCAAACACTTCCCTTCATGCATCCTATTCCCAACCACCATTCCAGATAAATTGGAAGTTACTGTTATTGATTGTTAATATTACACTTCCTTGCCATACGACTGCTTATTCACAGCTAGCAATGCACCTTCCTGTTCACATCCTCATCTGACTCTGGTAGTCACTAATTGAGAAAACTGAGGTTTACAGAGAGGGAGACTTGCCCAAAGCCGCTCAGCTAGATTTCTTTTCTACAAATCCTTTCTGCTCTCCATTGTCCTAGTCTAAAGACCATGGGGTGGACGGAATCACTAGAAAGGGAAGGGGACAGGGACTCAAGCCTCACGTGGGAGTTCCCTCCTACTTGCAGTTCTGAGGACAATGTATGGGGCCAGAGCTGCCACACCAGGAGACTGCTAGACTAGGGCTGGTGAGGGGAGAACTAGGATGTGGGTAGATTAAGAGCAAGCAGCTTAGCCATCAGGCTTCGCGGATGACCCTAGGCAAGTCCTTTTCTTTCTCTGCCCATGGTGCCTCCTCCTCTATAAAGTGAAGGCTCGAGCTAGGACCTCTCTAACATTTTAAATGCAAGGCTTCTCGATGTATATATTATAGGGAGTGGCGGGTGGTATAGAGTTTGGGCCTAGCCCAGTTGTCTGAGCCTGATACCCAGGCCTCTGATGCCCATCAGGTCACCCTAATCCATCACTACCACCCCCATCCCAAAGGATGTACTGTCTCAGGGAATCCTGAAAGGCCAGCTAAGGAGCTGACCTCAGGTCAATCAGCTGCTATCCAAGCAAACTGCCTGTCAGTTGCTTAAATTTATTGATTGCCCACTGGGTACAGTCTCACGTGTTGAGCAGGTGTGCTGTGGGCAAGGGGAGGAAGAAAAATACAAAACCAAAGGAGCCATTCAAGCTTCAAAGGAGAGCATAATTTGGCCATTCTTCTATCCCTGCTTTCAACCATCAACCTAGCAAACAGTTTTGGATTATCTATCCACGTATGCACCAAACCCTG